TTTATTTATGTGTGTGTGTGTGTGTGTGTGTGTCTAAAGTTTCAGTTGCCAGTCGCCAAAATAAACAACAAACACTTGAGGGCCGTGACTTTATTTCTTACACAAAATAAAATGTTAATAATAATACATTTTTTCGCTCGAGCGTTTTTTGGCGCTTTTGTTATTATTATTTTATTTATACTTATTGTTGGTATAGATGTACGCGAGCTTGTAGTAAGTGAGTATAGTATATGGCGTATATTTTGAACGTGTTGTCGATAAGATAAAAAACAGCGCCCAACTAGACCCGCAGAACTCACCCAACCACCCCCCTATTTATACTACAAACCCATTTTCTAGTTGTAGTTCTTGGGGTTTTCGCAAAGACGCAGAAAACAGTTTTCCTTTTGTTTTCCCATTTGTCTTGTGCATCTTTTATGACTTTTTGCTGAATGGAGAACCATTTTGTAACAGCCTAAACTAGGTTGCGTCCAGCTTAAGCAAAATTTAAAATTCTGTTCGTAGTTTTTGGTAACAAGCCCAACTGTAAAGATCTCATTCCAAGTGAGCAGCTGTTGGGCTATGTGTGTGTGAAATGTTTGTCAACATTTAAGCGACATTAATAATTGTTAAATTAATGGCGCATTTATAAACATTTGAGACGAACAACAAGTGCCAAGTCATTTGCGCGCTTTGGGCGCGTTTTAAAACGCGCGCGCAATGGCCCAAGCGTTTATTTATAAAATGCTGAGCCAAGAGCCGCCCAACTGACTCACAGCCTGCAGCTCGCGTCATGCATATGCATATGTATACATACATATATATGCTATATGCTCCATATATGAAGCATCAGCGATCATCATGAAACGTGACTTTTTGGCTCGCTCTCGGACTGCGTCACGGCCTCAACTGAAGCCCTGCTAACTGCTCGCCCACTCACCACTACTTGCACCCGCCCTCGCCCTAGCCACCGTCCCCGTCCTCGTCCCCGCACCCTTTGCGCCCACGCCGCTGCCCACTGACGACTAGCTATAACACGCGCCTTTTTTACTCCTATCGCTGCAACATATATCAGAGTATATATCTATATATATATATATACATGTATAAGCTATGGCGACAAACCATCAGGTTTTCTCTCGCAAATCATGCCTCAAACAAGCCCCCGCCCCCTCGCCAAAAGCCGCTCTCAAATTTTGCAGCTTTCTGCCACCCGCGCGTAACCTAATTATAAAACTTGAAGTGACATTTTTTGCTTCTTTTTTTATTGTTTTTGGTTGTTTTTTTTCCATTTTTTCCCCATTTATTATATTTTCAAGCAGCGCCGCCAACAATTTTTTTGTCGGTTTTTTTGCTTATTAAAGCCGCCCTCCATACATTCATGTGAGTTGTATGTGTTTTTTTTGTATATTTAAGTGGATCGCCGGATCGTGGAAAGTTGGCGACAGGTAGTTGCTTGGCATTTGCCCGGGGCGTTAAAAGTACGTTTGAACCCGTCAAATGATTGATGCACGACACGTTTAACAATTTAACTGAAATTGTGGCAAACGGCGCACTAAAAAGCAGGGTATACAGCAGTCGCTCAGCGGGTAATTGAACCGAAGCTGGAGAGTTCCTGTGCTAGACATCTCATTTGAGCTGCAGCTCAAAGTAGTCTATAAATTATTAGAGTTACGATTACGCTACGTTAACTACAAGCTACGTTTCTTTTTGATTAAATGTTTAGTTTACGTTCAACTAACCAACTAGGGAGCGTTTAGTTTAAGAGATGCTAAGCTTAATAAGAGCTGTTTATGCTTGGACTTCAGATTGGCATTTGTTGAAACAATTTTCATATTAAATCTGAAAATAATTTAATATTTTTTATCGAATTTCGAGTTTCTTTTTTCAGTCAAAGACATATTTTCTATGAACTTCAACAATTTTTCTTTCTTTCTCTTAGTTTAAATATATTTATTTTTATATTTGTTTTATTTTCTTCAATATTTGGTAGGATTTTCTATTTATGCGAACATTTTTGAATGTTTTTAATTTTACTAACGAAACTATATTTTTTTTTGTTTCTTAAGATTGTTTATTTTTCTACTATTATTTACGTTCTTGAAGCGCTATGCGAATATAAATTGTAAAGTTTTTAAAGCTGCAGCAGAGTTTTGAAACAATTTAATTTATTTCTTTTCTGTGGAACAATAATTTTTAAGCAGTTTAGTTTTATTTTGTTGACATATTTTAATGTTTGTTTTTTTATTTTTTTTTATTTTGTGGCTCTGTTTACTCGAGCCTTTTATGTTTAAAGGCCCCCTGCACTTTAAATAATTATCGCATTAGCATTCGTCATTGGCATTATGAGATGTAATGCGATGCACATGCAATTGTTGTTGCAGTTGCAGTTGCAGTTTCAGTTGTAGTTGTTGTTAAACAAACCCTCGACTTGATTGTTGATGCGTAAAACCCAAACACTAAATGCCGCACCCTTAAAGCTTTTAGCTAATCGGCACATCATCAACTGTCAAATTGACACACTGACTAACTGACTAACTGACAAGCTGACTATTTGGCCAACTGGCCAGTCATGAAGTGCAGCCAGCATTAGGCACAGGTCTCTAAACTAGGCAGCAGCAACCCATTCTAAAGCTCTCTAGTACATTTACTATAACTAAGATTACTTTTGATAAAGTCTAGGCTGTGTGCGTGTGTTTGTGTGTGTTTATTGATTGCATTAATCAAAGCTGCACAAATATGTGCCAAGTCATAAAAGAATTTACGCTGTTTCTGTTGCCTTTCTGCTTGTGATTTGGCAAATGCGGTTCTATCGGATCATAAATTTCAATAAACCCCGAAGTCCAGCTGTTAAGAATCCCATGTGACTGAACCAGCCAAAATCTGAAGAGACTTGAGGTAGAACTAGTTGAAGGTATTTTCAAGTAACTGAACTTGGAACTACTTGAAATATAATTATTCTTTTAACGGAATATGAGGAGTTATTTATGAATAAGATCTGATTTTTATTACGCATTGTTTAGACTTCATTAAAGAAAAATATATTTTCTTAACAGCTTATCAAATTCTTAATCTTTTTGCAGTTGTTTAAAAAGATTATCAATGATACTCGAGTAAGTTGTATATATTTGAACCACATTCATATTTATTGTGTTTTCAATAAAATAAGGATATAAATATTAATAACTTTATAATAATATATAAAAGTAAATTGCCTTTCGTAAATCTTATTACACCTTTTGTTTAACCCAAGCAAATATTTGGGCAATCGCACAACCATAAAACTCTTAGTTTTTGTTTCTCTGCAACTCTCGCAGCTCTTTCACTTTCGAGAATTTGCCACCGCAGTTCAGCGTTGATCCACATTAGATTAAAGTGTTATAAAAAGCGAGGCTTATCAAACAAACCTCAAGAAACTGAAACATTTTCGGGAACTGTCTCGCGTTTTACAACAGTTTTTTGTATGCCCCATTTTTATCTGTGTGCTTTTCCGTTTAATTAATAAAAAATATAAACAAAAGCAAGTCGAAATCTTAAATCAAATATTATCTATTTTTATGCTATCATAATACACGCCCACATAGATATATAATGGGGCGTGGCAGTGTTTGACTTAAGAAATTTTGTTGCATGTGCTTTTGGGTTGTGCTGGAGGGGAGGTGATGGGCGGAGGGCAGCGTGTGGCATTGGCATTTATGATGAAATTCTTGCAAAGTCGTGCATGTCTTAAAGCTGATTAATTGACGCGTTTTCGTGGCGTTTTTTGTCGCCAGCGGCTGACGGCGGCGGCTGCTGCCGCTGCAATTGATTTATGGCTCAGGTAAATGTCCTGAGATCAGGACATGCCACAAGCACGAAACACGAAGCTGACGACCCTTTGCAGCAAAGTTTTTTATTTTACATTTTATTTTAAAAAAAGGGGTTGTGCACACACACACACACACACACACACACACGCGCGCGTGTGAGAGGGAGAGCTGGCATTTATCCTGGCATTTTGCATGTGTTGGTGCCATAACAAGTTATGAATCGCAATTATTGCCACGTTTCGTTTCGTTTCGTTCACGTTTTCACAATTCTCGTTTGAAACATATAATTGTGCTTTTTATGTATGTTTGAAAATTGTTTTTTAAATGAAATTACTTGCCGCCTGATAAATGTGTGTGCGTGCGTGTGTGAAAGGAATACACTATTTACTTATAAAATATAGCCAAAGGGACTCCACACACACAGGTCATGATGCTTTTTTATATCCAAATGCTTTTGTATTGAGTTTTGCGAAATGTGTTCTTGTGTTTTGAGTTTAAGGTTTTGGCTATGGGAATGGCGTGTTTTTTATCTGTGCTCTTCTAAATGTGGCCTGTCGCAGGGTGTAAGATTGTTTTTATTTATAAAGTCTTTATAAAAATATGTAATTGCTAATACTTGGTTATCTAAACGCAAGTATTTGCAAATCAGAAAGAATCTACCCCATTCCTAATTTTATCTTTTTTCTTATACAAAAGTTGATTCGAGCTTTGTTTTTTGTTAATATATATTATTAAAACACATACATTAAACTCCTTCAGCAATAAATTCAACATTATTTAAAATTTCCATTCCTCAACAAAGAATTCCCAAAAAAAAATGATATAAACATTTTCTTCAAAAACCTTTTATCTAGGATTGAGTTTTTGTTCAGTTTTTTATTGCACACGAATTTCTTCGTATTCCTAATTTCCTCAAAATCATGGCACAATTATTAAACTATATCATAAATAGTTTTAGTTTTTTTTTTTTTTTATAAAGCTCTTCAAGGGAATTATTCGTGAGGCACATTCAAATGTTTTGAGGAAATATTTTGAAGTACATGGCAGAACCATTTATACACTACGTTCCAGTTATCAGTTCGTAATTAGAAGCTAATATATGACTTAATTCTGTTTAAGTGCGATCGTAATCGTTGTTGGTATTGTGCAATTATTGGAAGTGCGTTGCTTGGTTAGCTGTAAAAAGGGGTGGGGGCGAATCGGTATACTTACATTGTATATTTCTGGCCGCATTGTAGCCCCCAAATTTAAGGGTATAAATTATAATCCAACATGGGTTTGTGCGTGATGCCGTCTGGAAACGTACATTTGAGTTGAGGTGACGAAAAGTTGCGACGTATCAAAAATCCAAACGGAAATCAAAAGTTATACATGTGTATATATATGTAATATTTAATATATATATATATATATATGTATGTATGGGTGTGTGTATGTGTGTATATGTTTAATTAATTTGCATGCAAATTGTGCCGCGTTAACAAAAAAAATTACACAGCGAAAAAAATGCAACAAAAGCCGAGTTACAATTTGTATTTTGTTTTGTTTTGTTTTGTTTATTTTCTTAACTTTTTATGTTATGTATAATAATTTGTTGTTGTTGTTGTTGTGGCTTTTGATATGTGTATTAATTAATCAAATCATGCGTGTATTTGTTGTTGCATTAAATATATATATATATATATTTATATATTTATGTCGGTCGGTGTGTGTATTGCACTTTTATTTGTCGGCGATTGCGGCGACAATTTAAAATTTTATTCGATTTTTATTTTGCACAAAAATTGTTGTATTATTTATTTGTTGTATTTATTAAATTTTATTACTTTTGGCACTTGGGCATAATTTGTATTTGAAAAGAACTGGTTGCGTTTAGTATATATATTAATATATTTGTATATAATTCTAGTCGATTTTTAAAACAAAATCAGTTATTGAACGAAATTTGTAAATGCGATATATTCTCATGCACACTTTTCACTTTCATTTTGATGTTGAATGGAACTTTACTTGCATTTTCTTTGTGGCATTTCGAAAAAATTATTAACTTGTTTATTTTCGTCTGCTTTTCTTGTTTCCAATTCAATTTTCAATTTAACGCATTTGTTGTGTTTGCCGTTACTCTGGCTTCGGTTATATTTGATTTGATTTCTTCTTCTTGTTTTCTTCGTTTTTTTACTTTTAATTTTCCTCCGCTCTGTTCGCGGCAACGATCTCGAACCGACGAAAGGTGCACACAAACTCAGATACAGATACAAATGTGCGCTCGCTGAATGCTGTTAAGGCGAACGAGCGCTGTTAACTAATCACAATTCTGTTATGTTAAACTCAAAATGGCAGCGCACATGTCGCAGCTGGTTCGATGTTGTTGTCGCAGGGCATGCTGATAACAGCCGCTGTTAAATGTGTTGTAGCATCAGAAACTATTGCAAATCCAGAGCCCCAGAGCAGAGTTAAAACGAATCATAAAAATGTGAAACTAATGGAATCACAATAAAAGTAAAACACATGCCAATTTGTAGTGCTGCCAATTGAGAAAAAACCCACAAATAAACGATGCATTTTAACTAGTTCTAGTTATGGCCAAAATATGCATAATATATTGACCAAGGTCCAGTTAGCAGCGCTTGCAGCGTTGATCGATTAGACAGCGCCTGGCTTTTTATCGATCAGTTGATTAAATCAAATTGGGTTGTTGCCAACGACCCAAAAAGAAAACAAAAAAACACAACAATCTATAAAAAGTCGATTACATTAAGCAATGTGCGTAGTGTGAAAGCAGCTTATCGAGAGACGGAGCCAAATTGAAATCTAATCAAGCATAGTTAGACAACGATTACAAGAAACTCAACTAGCTATTTAACTGTTCATACATCGTGACATCTTCTTCTCACCTTAAAACCTTCAAAGTTCAGCGCAATTTGTCCAAATAGTCACTGATAAGCCGCTGCTCGTGCGGCTTTTCGAGCTGTCAGCGACTATCAGCCTCAGAGCAATCTGTCAAATAGTCTAAGCAGGCAACTTAATTTTCAATATCGCACAGGTAAAGCACCCAAAACAAAACAAACAAACGAAAGAAAAAAAAATGATTGTGGACTTTGCTCGTGTCTCAATTTCCAATTAACTTCAGTCAGATACCGAATATATATTTCGACGTTTGTGTCCGTGAAATGACGCCTCGATAGGCGGGCAAGCAAAACGGTTGAATTAAAAAACAAAAGCATTTGACATGAATGAAATATTTTCGATAGTAGGTAGTTTCAGGGAATTCGGTAGCTGCGCTTATCAAACAAAACACTTCTCGCTCCCTCTCTGCTTCTTTTTTAGCTATTTTGTTTACGCAAAACTGTGTCAAATGCCGCTGACTCACATTAGACAAGACCAGGAAATGCTAATTCATGATATGTGCTCGAAGCATCCATATTGAAAGGTTTGATAAAAATATTGCGCATATTCCAATCTTAGAATTGATAAAAAAAACGCTTCACATTGAATTTGAATTTGAAACCAAAAAGACAGTTACTGCCTTTAACAGAGGACTGTTAATGTTGCGCGCTGCCAACATGTTGCGTGTCTGCTCAAGCCAAGCTGTTGTATCAAGCAGTGCACGACCCAACAAAGCAAGCAGTGCATAGCTTAGCTGCGCGGCATTTTAAAAAACATTTGAAAAATCTTCATAAAAATGTTAAAATGTGTGTTGCATTAAAATCAAAAGCGTAACAGTTAAAATTTAAGTTAGGGTTCGGCAACTTATGAGACTGACTGTAAATTATGGCTAACTTATTTTACACAATGTTGAAATCAAAAAAAATTACCACTCCACGCACCTGCGAGTTCTCCTTCCCGCGAGCAATGCATTAACCCATATCAGTTGTGGGTGCGTCTTATTTGGCAGCTCGCGCCAAAGTAACTCAAAGATAGATTAGGCGCCCGCTAATTGAGATTTATGCGAGGTTGTCGCGTCCGAAGCTCAACAGTGTCCGAAACTCTTGACGCTGACAAGAAACAAAACAAAAAAAAACCTTTTCAACGACGGAAATGACGAAAAAAATTAGCAACTAAACTAATGACAATGATAAGTTAAATGTCGCAGTACTTAAACATAAACCAAATGCCAGCATGAAAAACAAAATCAATTGATTCGCCGGACTAAGTTAATTATTCAAGTAAAATGTGGCAGCAACCAAATTGATAAGGAAATATACAAAAAAAACAGCTGTAGATATTTTAAATTTCAAGTAGTTAATGGCGCGTCAATTTAACCATAAATTAATGTGGTAAGTTGTAGAACTTTTTATGTTACGAAATACTATGGACTTTCAGCCTTTAAATTTTAACTTTACAATATTCATCTTTTATAAATAGTTTTATTAATTAAATATGACATAAATTAAAAAATAAAATAATGCACTTGTGCAAATGTATGTAACAGGCAGAAGGACTCATCTCCGACCCCATAAAGAGTATATATTCCTGATCAGCATCAATAGCCAAGTCGATCTACGTCTGTCTGTCTAAGAACCTATGAGAAATAGACACATAGAAATAGGACCTACGTTGACTCCTAGAGCCCGCGTAGTGCAAGCTGTTGTTCGAGCCAAATTTGATATGTGGGGTCCAATATGGGATATATTTATAAAGTATCTTGCATTTTATAGCTATCGCATAGAAGAGTGTTTTTTAGTCGGTAACTCCAAACTACAGTCTCTTATTTATTTCTTCATATAAGTAAAAGTTTAAGTAATTTGATTTTTGTAAAACGCATTTATATTTTATTTTTTTTAATGCTTCAACTAGACTAAGTTCTTTAATATAACTGTCTTATATATAAATTATCTCACATGTACCTTATATAATGTTGTTGTTCGCTTTTCAGGCAACTCTTATGCACAGCTGCTTGGTAAGTTTTTGTGGCTCAACTATTACATAATCCGCCCACCCATACATAAAATGCACTCCACCTAATTCATATGTCCTAACAAGAAAATTATAAAATCTAAAAAAAAAAAACAATCCCAAAAAATCCAACCGCAATTTTGGGCCAACAAATATTTGCCTCACGCCTGGAATTCCCAGTCCATAGCTATAACCAGGAAATTATACTGTTGTGAGTGTGTGTTGTGTGTATGCCTGTGTGTGTGTGTGTGTTTCGTCCTTTTGGCAAACGCAGCAGGACACGAAGCGAGTTGCTGGCGCCATGTCGCGCCCTCAGCTCAAAAATTTAGATGTTACGAAAATAGCCAAAAAAAAAAAACGTGTCAAATGCATTTCCGAATTGAATGCAGTGTGAAATATGCACTCAGAACAATGCCAAATGCCAACAATAAGAAGAAGAGAAAAACAAGTTAAACTATTTATGAGTTGATGCCACCTCGTTGCTGTCTCAGGTGCGACAAGTTAATTTTTGTATTTTATTTTGTATTTTTCTGCCGCATTTCCTTGTACCACTCGGTGGGTCCACACCACGTGATTTATGAGCACCGACTGTGTGTGTGTGTGTGTGTGTGCGTGTGTGTGTGCTGCTGTTGTCCTTTGACTCTAGCGCATCATATCTGATGCAAATGTGTCACACTCACGACAATCGGCGCAGCGCAACAGCCAAAACCCCAGAAACTCGACAAAGTCCTAAAAAGCATTAAGAAAATAAAAAAAAAAACCCAACAAAAAAAAAAACCCTGAGAAATATTTTAATTAAAATTCAGTGCCCCCAAAAAAAGAATTACCAAAACCGCTGCCCGGCAGCCTGGCAGGCTGGCGGGCAGGCAGGATAAGCCCCAGTCCCAGTCGCAGACCCCGACGCAGTCGCAGACATATCCGTGGCTGATCTTAACTGATAAACGTGCAAAAACCAACAAAACCAGCACAAATAATAACAAGAGCTGTGCGTTAAAAATGTGGATGCGACTGTTGAATGCCCTGCGAAAATGCACGTACAAGTTATTTCTTGAATTTGTATGCCCCACAAAAATTCAACTTTAAGATATTTCTATAATCAGTATTCTTTACTACTTCATATATATACGTTATCTACAAAAAATAAAAGCCTATATATCTAAATAAATGTAAATCTATAAAGCATCCTTGAGAAAATTCTTAAAAAAGAAACGTTTTTAAAAATCTTCAATGTTTAATCTGAAGTATGAACTTAAGCAAAAGAAAAACTATACATTTTTTTAAATTTTGCAGTTTTTTTTTATTATTATTTATTTTTATGATCATTATCTATTTAGATGGTATCTATAAAATATTATCTGTCTAGCTCAGACAGTATAAAAATTTCGAAAAAAAGAAAAACTACTTACTACCCATAAAATTAATAGACAGTATCTAAAAAAAAAATAAAAATTGATCTTACCACCTATCTTATTATCTACATAGACAGAGTATCTATATAAAT